CCCATTGTTGGATGAGTGCTAGGAATGATTAGTTATGGAAGCGTCGTGGTTTGTCTGGGGATGGCCCTACCGTGTGACAATGGCCTTAAGAGGTAGAACATGAGTATAAAGAAGAGAATGAGCACACCACAGAAGCATAGTAGTGTGTTTGGTGCCCATGGTACTGGCAAAACTTGGTTTATGATGGCTGAAACAACTACAGAAAGCATAATTGAATGTAGGATGAAGATAATACACTCTTTGATTATATTTCTGGGGGACATTCTGGCTCGGGTATTGGTGACAGATGACTTGATGCTGGGTGATGCGATGTATTCTGGTGGAGGGGTCTCAAAGCCATCAAGGAGACCTTCCTCCTCCAGATATTTCTGTTCCTTTTGGAGCATTGTTTTGATCGACACTCTGCGGTTTATTTTGTCAGCTTTATCGAGGATGATGAGATGTCTAGGCGACGATGATGAGATGTCAGAGGGACGATGATGAGGTGTCAGAGGGACGATGATTTTTCCTACGAGACGAAGTTGAAATAAAAACCTGAAATAAAGTTTTACCAAACCTAAAGACCTGAGTCATATATGGCGCAATGAGTCCCCCTCAAAGAGGGAATCGGCGCGAGAAAGTTGACATCCAGTAAGACATTGGCCTTATTTGGCCTCGTAGACCAGACGCCGACCTTTGACCTGCGTGAGCTCCTATCCTCCCATTGAAATCGCTGGTAATGCCAAAGACTGGCGGCTGATGTATGCCTGGCGGTACACATGTCCACCATGGCACCTGTAAGGTTCAGTTCACGATGGCTGAAACCACCCGCGAAGATGTCAAGTATAGTAGATAGGTAGAACGTGAATGCTTTGACGAAGTTATTTGATGAAGGTATGGTGGGGGGTTGGTGCGGATGAACTATTCTCCCGATATCTTGTCATCAGGCGATTAAAGTTCGAGGCCGGCGTAAAATCTTGGACGATCTTCCCGCTCGTTTTCGACGAGAGACGACACTGCCGCCACGGGTTCTCTCGAACCTTGTGGGAGAGATGGGTTCGGCTTGATGTAGAAGAGGAGAGTGGTGGGATTGTCTTGCTCTCTAGAGTGCTCGTGAAAGGAGAGAGGGGTTCATCTATTTACTGTTAGTTTTTTACTGTTAGTAGTTTCTTAAGATCTTAAAGATCAATAGCCATAAAAACGGAAGTTGTGGGAGGCAGGCCTGCCCCAGCGTCACGATTCACAGTCTCGATCCAAACCAAAACACTAGCACGTCTGGGTCTGGTTACGAGACTGCACCGTCCTGCGAGCTCGCAGCGTAACACAAAATCGAACTGCATTACCCAAGTGTCGAGATTGCATTACCCAGCGTCTGGCATGGCAGAGAATTCAAGTTTTTTATGAAATGATTAGAGAGTGTACGAGCGAGGTAGTTTTAATGTCATTTCAATTCAATTATCTAGGCAGGCTACTAGATATGAGTAATCTTGATTGTCCAAGTATAACGAAGTAGCCATTCGTAAGAGTAGATCACTTTTTGCGCGGCATCTTGATGCCGCCGCGGACCCGCGTCTATAGCACCTGACATCGAGGCTATCGCTGGTTCCTATAGCGCCTGGCACCAACTATCGCTGACTTATACTGCTCGTGCGCACTACTAGTCTCGGGGACGCTGGCGCACTACCCAGTATAATGCCTAAGTCTTAGCCCCGCATCTTAAGATCTTACTTAAAACACTCATGTTTGTCCAAACCTGAAGGTCAACTTAAGCGCTTTCTTGTGCAAGATTTGACGCATCTTCTTATTAAGGCAATCACAAATTTATAATGCGCTGTCCATTCAACAACAAGGGGGAACAAGTACCACTCATATAAGACTATACCATTTTGAAGGTTAGCGAGGAAATGGAAAATTACCAGGATAGGAAATCACCTGCACCATAAGTACTTAGGTAGGTATTGTGGAGAGCCTCGGGGCGTTTGTGCCGATGTTACTATACTAATTATCATCCGATAGATCATGATATCATGATCCAGGACCGGGAACATTCTACATGCTGAGGCACTTGGCTATTTGTAGTCAACAACGGAAGCTAACGTATAATGTTATATATACGGTACTTCGTAGCTAATTCGTCTATTACCTAATAAGTAAAGTTAGCAGCCCATGCGCCTCGAACCGACCTCCTAGTCATCTGCCATCCATCCCATGTTCCGGCAACTCGGCCGATTCTAGTAGCAAGTAAGTATTTACTTAGAGTAATATATAGGGTATTTAGGTGCATGCGAAGGAGGCCGATCGATTTGGCTAGGCTGCGAACGTTCGAACGTCTCCTGGTGAAGACCGCGGGACCTGCAGTAGTATCGTATGGAATTATCAGGAGTCGAAATTTAAAGCTAGTATACTACTTTAGCGAGGTTGCGGTTGTGATATCCTTAGTCAGGCAGGGTCGTGATTTGGCTGGAAACGGACAATATAATCGTTGGGTATCCGCGTGATGGACGTCTTCGGGATTGAGTACCGCGGTTGTGGATATGGTTGGCCATGCGCTCGTCGTTCTTGGTTAGCCGCCGCGCCTTGCGATGATTAGACGTCACGTTGAGGACAATTCGAGTTATGGTTGTAGCAAGAAGTTTTGAAGATGGTAGGTTTCATGGTGCGGTAAATGAGGCTTGCCGGCATTTACGCATATGCGCATCTTATAGTTAAAATCAGACCGTGGCCCATGGACTAGGCTATAGGGACTGGCCTCATGAGCTCACACGACTAAAACGCCTGGAAGATGATAGACGAAAAGGCTGTTCATATGTACCTGAAAAAAATTGTCCGCAAAAGGGAAGCTAAATATATCGGATTCGCCATATTATTTAACAGCTGTAAGCTGTAGGTTATAAAGCCAACTCTGATCTCTGGACCGAATTCGCGAATCCCAAGCCATAGCCAGTATGCGACTCGACATATCGATCCGCCAAATATTTGAGGATATCTGGTAAAAGAGCTATATTTTGGAAAGCGAGGTCGCCCAAGCCTAATTACCAATATATCATTTGAATGTATTTAGAGGACCAATTCACATAGAGAATTAGTCTAAAGCCAAAAGATATCATGAAGTCCATATGTTGGATAAATTTATATAAACGGAGAGTTTAAATTTAATCATCCGGAATTTGAATGATCTAGATAGCAGATATCGATAATCTGACCTGCGGTCTGGCTCGCGAAATCACAGATACATAAGTACAATAATATCTGGAATAGAATATCAATCTCGAAATCTTGTTGTTCCAATCGAGGTGTAGCTGTTGTATATGATCCATATAGCTATGTGTATATGCCTTGTCGGGTTCTAGTATTCGAATATTCTTTGAACCATGTATGAACGGAGCGTCCAGAGCACTAGATGATCTAGGTTGAAGATCTCTAGATGCGCACGTATGTATCCAATTAATTCATGTAGCTATAGGTGGCTCCAATCTTTTACCAGATTATCCTTACATAATCGATCAGCTGCTATAAGACCTGAGTTTTCCCTCTCAGCTTACTGATGTTGAAACCACTGAGAATTGTAAGGTCCAATCTTGTGTATAACGTCGAGAGCACAGTGTTGTCCACCAGCATGAACAACGCGTATATAATTCCTTTTCTGATCTTTCAGGTCCTTTGGTTTCGGATATCCATTGTCGTCCTCTTTGAGACTATCTTTGAGGGTGTCGGGTCCCAAAATGACCTCCAGGATCGGATTACCGGATGGTCACAATCAATTGGGTTGGCTGACGTAGCGATGGAGACGGCTCGTCAAATATTGTATATTGAAGATATGTACGAATTTATGTATCTTATGTATACAAATTCGGCCCCCCTTTATAGGACAATCCTTTACGAGCTCAATAGAATGGATGGCTGATATTAATGCAGATGTCCACTGCGTCGATGCCGACACCGATTCAAGCGGCCGTCTTGCAATTTGGCTCCAGTATGAGGAAGAGCACCCTCGAGAGACTTGAGAACACCGGATACAGTACCGATCAGAGTGCTTGCATCCGCAATACCGATGTCTGGTCTCATCATTGTTCCTGCGAAAGTTCTGGCTGAAGTACTTACCGGGTTGGAGCGTGCAAGTTAAGTACCACCGTGATATAATATGATGTTACGTTACTGGACACGCGTGATAAAACGAAGCCGATCCATGACGCGATAAGGTTGACGCAGTTGCCATTGATCCGAAAAAGATAGATAATGTTGGTCAGTTAAAGTGAAATCTTAGCACTTCTTGTCTAAGAAGCCATAAGTTTTCCATTTTACGAGACTTTCCTCGTCGTAGTGGTTGCATAAGACAACCTTCTCCACTACATTACAAGTCCATGCAGCAGTATTCACTCCTACTGTACAGCTGTCATTATCTTGACCCCAGCTATAGGGGAGCCGCCTTTGTGGCCCGTTTACCCGGAGCACCCAAAGCTATTGGATCTCGCTATAAGTTAGTGATAAGCTAAGGTAGTGTGAAATTTGTTCCCTCCGTTTCACTCCACTGATCACTATTGTAGACACGGGTCAGCTACGATTTCTGAATTACCAATCGCAAGAGAGATATCAAACTTACTGGGATCTCACGCGGCTAGATGCATAACTGATGGCGCTTTGGCTCATATCCAAACTACTGTCGTCCACCAAAAACATTCAGAATGGGGCCTTTTTATAGCAATACTTCACCCAATTCACCATACTTTTTTACAGCAGCATTAAGAAATCTGCCACATAAAAATCCCTGTAATCTTTTAAATTAAATCTATAAACAGGCCTCTTAAAGTAGCAGACACTTCTTAAGAAAAAAAAAAAAAACACCATACAAAAGTGATCCCCACTTTCTGAATGTTTTTGCTGGACGACAGTACCTTTAATGCTAGAGCACTTCAACTTCCAAAATCTAGACCGCTAGAACCACCACCACCAAGCCCACCACCGGAAAGGGTTGCCTGGCGAGACCAGGGCAAAAAAAACTGCAAAAAAAAATCGTCATCTTCTGCGTCTGCCGGGAATCGAACCCGGGGCTCATCGAAGTTGCTCCAACTTTCGGTGGATGGCAACGATGAATTTTACCACTAAACCACAAACGCTTGCTTGTTGTTGAAGATGGACGGCCGGAGTAGCACAGAAACTTCACTGCCTCCAGGCTCGAAGTTTGCTCCCTGGCCATTATTATCGCTCGGGAAGCATCGCCACAAATCCTGCGATAGCCAGATTCATACAGCTTCAAGGGCTTGGGCCTGAGCTATAAAGTGGAACGATCTGAAAGGGAGTCTGGGGTAGTGGCTGGTTGATTTCTCAAAGGTCTGACCGAAGGAAATACAAACATATCGAGCTGTCTCTAGGATATCCACAGGCGGAATATGAGGCTGGGTCTCAGACAACCCATCCATCATCTCTGGCCGCAGCGTAGTGTTGGCCGCCAAACCACAGCGAGACGTGATAAGTGGGTTAGCCATGATATACTCCATACCACGTTGCTAGCCCAGCGACTGGTTCTTCGTTGCACTTATGAAGATTCTCTTGTATGATAAGACTTGATGATATGCTGTCCAGTCAGACGGTAGAAGGGGTGCGACCTCTAAAGATTCCGGAATCTGGAAGAGTGAACTCGGACGGAGTTTTTAAAATTCGGAGTCAACTTTAAAAGAATTTAATGTCTCGACCGGAAACTGTGCTGCGATATAGGCCATAAAATTGATGAGAGTGAAGTTAAGGCCGGTCAGGGCCTCCCAAAGATCTGTTAGCTAGGGAATCTCCCAGTTCCCTTGACAAAGCTCCGAGATTCCATCAAACGAATTCTGCACAAGCAGGTCACATATGCATGAATGCGAAGGACAATAGGTTTGATTGCACCAGATATGGCCTAGAACCCCTTTCCAAGGATATATTTGAGGTACTCCGTAATTTCGGTTCGTTCCGTTATACATGTAAGCCTGGAAGCTTGTTCAGCTCTTTCCTAGAAACTCGGACATAATTTGGACCTGTTCCTTCAGGGCTCCTATAATATCTTGGTCAATTCCTGAATCTGGTGCGGGGATTGTAAGTCATCTCCGTATTCTGTTACGATCTCCATGATCCACTGTAAGGGTTTGAATTTGATAAGATTTACAACAATACATTGAGGATATTTCGTCGACCACCGGGTCGCTAGTTCTGCAGCTTCGCTAGTTTATTCATCCCCAAAGACGTCGCCGCTGAAGCAGCCGGTGCTGTTAAATCGAGCCATAAACATAATGCGCGGAAGACTGTAATGGAATTTTGCATTGGGAGTTGGGGCCCCTGCCAGATCGATACAGCAAGGCAAAGGCTTCGAAATGAGCAATTCTATCAGGAGTACTCTGGCAGAAAGTCATATCTTACAACGGAGTCAATGATGCGACTGATTTTGTCAAGATAGAATGTGAATAGGCTATGCCAATTACTCGACCTAGCTTAATTACCAACTTATCGGCAGGTGACATGATAGTAAAACCCGGATACGGCAGTCTCTATCCATTGAGAAGCTTTAATGATGAGCAGAACGAAAATCGCTGACCTAAATTCACAACCGGTTCTACTCCCGTGTGAAAGTCAAGTCGTACCAGACAATTGCTGCCAATCATGTGAAAGAGCTCGTCGGTGCCGTGCCTGCTTTTTTTTTTTTTTTTTTTTTTTTTTTTTTTTTTTTTGGAAAACTCTCCTTGGAGATACTTCTCAAATCATTATTGACGTTGATGGTGAGTTCGCCTATAATATTGTGATGCAGTTTCTTCGTCCGCACTTAATCTTTGATCGCAAAGGCGATGAAAACTGGAGGGAGGCTTACGATTTCAATCGATACATCAACGCAAAATACGCGTTCGAGATTGAAACGAGCGCTGGGGGCCGTGGTAGCTTCTCAGTGGAGCACATAGTGCAGGTGGAGCATCATGAAGACAGTAACGGTAACACACTCATATGCGACAATAGATAACCAGAGAACGATGTCCCGGGTGTGTACAAAAACAACAGTCTCTACAATTGGGCCAATTGATTTGAAGGGAGTCTCAGGAATGGGTAAGGAAGTCTCGACAAAATTAGGGAAAAAGATCGTCAAAAAATAGCATGGACAAGCTGGAAGGTGCCTTGGGCGAGCTAGTCAGTTCACTCCGCCGGAGCAACCGTCATGTTGCCCGCCGGCGAGGTCCTCATGCTTAAAGGATTCAGCACCCACGATGAAGGGGATGTTTTCAAGATGTTGGGCTATGATACCCCTGTGGGAGGAAAAATACGGGATCCTGCGAAGCAAGGAATAGCGACCTCGTGGCAAGTTCCAAAGAAAAGGGCTTACGATCAGTTAGCCATTGGTGTACGTACATATGCGGATATACAGGCATATGCTGTAATCGTCTTGAAAACATTCTCAAGTACCTCGAACTCTAAGGCCGTCGAGTGGCTGCATGTATATATACAGGTACATGAAAATTAGACGAATTAAATTAGAATCGGGTTAGACATGCATGAATTGCTTGAAAAATGCGACTTCTAGAGTTCAAGTTGTAATAGGTATACAATATATACCTTTCACCAAATACTAAAACCTAGGGCCCTCTCAATAGATAATCTTACTCTCACTCCATCTGTCAATATTCTCGATCGTATTCATAGTCTCCGTGCCGATGCCCGCCTTTATGAAAAATATATCTCACGGCGATCACGTATCTGTGGAGGAATTCAAATCGGGACGGTACTGCTGGCATGCAATTACCCGGATCATACTGCGAGGTTTATGCATAATTGATCGATATCAAGCAAATAGAAGCTATCGAAAGTGACGTCAAGATTTCCGGATAACTTTTCAGCATGTCGGTGTTGCCTGTGATATCGGTTAGCAGTCTGAAATAATAGACACATGAAATATGCTGATCCATGTATTAAGATTCAATTTGATGACGTGTGATATTAAGTTTGAGGTAGATTCTCCGTATTCGACGCCGAACTCAGACATCTACGCGCGTCCAGGTCAATTGATGTTTCTATATTTAGCCGCCTTTCAGCTTGAACATTTGAACCTTAAATGGTTCACGAAAATATTATTGCAACGCAAATTCTAGTATATATATCAGCCTCAATTGTTTCGAAATAGGACCGAAAATATGACTGAATTCAAGTACTCCCTTACCTGAACTCGTTTATCCGATCTCATCAAAAGGACGTCAGGTGTGATTGACGTTATGCGTTGACGGTTGTTGCAATTTTCCCTGCAGCAGGGATCACCTGAGGGTGCACAAATCGAGGAAATGCACTCCAATGCGTCGGGCAATTAATCTATTTGATCATCGATTATTCATAGCTGTGTGTCACGAGGGTCCTCTTAATAGGCATTTTCTGTTCACCAAGTCTGATCTGGGCTCGGGTACTCCGCAGCAAACTAGGTCTCCCTTCGAACACTTACCCATCAATACATTAATTTACTTACACGCAAGATGTCGGTATCGATATTTACTTTTGACGATAGTATGCGTATAGCTGTATAATATACTACCGCACTTCAGCATTGTCGATATCGATATTGATTATTCAGCGATTCGAGCGCAAGCACCAGGTTTCGCATAGAATCAAGCTCACTATTAGTATTCTCAAGTCTCAAAAATGGAAGTTCAAGGCGCCCATGCCGTCCACGGGACTCGTAGATGCATCCTTCAGTCGTACGTACAGCGCGGTGCGTGCATTGCATTGAGCAAAAAACTTAAGATAAGCGGGTCACACATGCACCGACGAGCATATTCCCATGTCGATTTTCCAATGCGAATTTGACAAACCGTGCATATTGCAGATGATGGATCCTGACCAAGTGGCGTTTGGATTTGTGAGATGCTCGTGTCGAGGCGACCCTGGTCCTTGTCACGTATGGAGCTTTCGCCAATTAACGGGTGACTTTTTGAGGCTTGATGGGTTGGGATGTTGGTGTGTGATTGATAAAGTACATTGTTGGATGTAGATGTACCGGTGCGAGAGGGTGATGTATGGTGGGGTATTACCGATGGTTAGGTCGTATACGCGCAGCCATGGTTCTCTGATTGTGATGCTCTTTGGGCAGGTCGATTTGCAGTGGCTGTGGATTTTTATGTCTGTGAGCGAGTTCGACGGTCTGAAGATTTACATGATTGCAGTTCGTCCGCGTGCATGCTCGTATTACGTGCTATTAGGAGCTGCCTTTGTTATATAGTACGCTATGAATAGAATAGGGCTCCGTGACCAGAGAGTCACTGGTTCTTCTGATAAAGCTAGAAAAGGTCAACTACCGCTAGGCTAAAGTTAACGTCGAAAATTTATCAAAGAGATTTGGCTTCTTTATCCGAGCGTTTATCCACGCCGCATGCAGAATTACAGACATCATCCTTGCGCGATATTCGAAGTGAAAAATTTCGACGTTGTGGCCAACGCTACGAGTATCTTTGACGTGACGTCGGACTCCGAAGTGCACCGAGATTCTTAGCGCAGTCTTTCCCGATACGTATGAAATCACGAAGAGATGATGCGATAAACGTCCTAGTTTCTCCGCCTGCTTTCCTATTGTTACCTAAGTGTCTAGGAAAACGTTCAGGGTGTCATATTAATATCGCGTCGGGAGCAGAGCTAGGAGTGGTTCGGATGTTAGAATAGCGCGGCCGCATGGTCTTATCATACATCAATCAAGTAGTCCCGGTACCGGTGTTCACGTACCGTGTCAGAATATAGTCTCGAGAGAAGAATGCACTTACGTTTGTCATAGCTATGATTAAGATTTAATTGACGGTAGGCGGCACAGGTAGACGTTCGATTGATCAAACTCCTGCGCCACCAGCAACAACAGTGCAGACTGCCAACTGATTCGCAACATCACATCCTTCTTCCACCACTCAGTTCCAGACATCAATCACCATCGTCGCTGGCCTAGACCCATCGCCTCCAACAACTGCGATCTGGTTTATTCTTCCGCCGACTCTCTATACGCATCTTGCCCCGCCAGCCTCCGAGTCTGGAGAAAGGCCCTCGCGTAACGCGTTAAACCCGCCTGCAACCCCAGTAAAGTTACGTACAGCATCCGACTCAGCGCTCCAATCCGACCCTCAGGCGTCGCGCCACA